TCCGCACAAAGAGGAAAAATCACAGAAAACAAGACTGGATGTTAAGTAGTTTCTCATTTAAAAAATAAAGTATGACAGGAAGTCTGCGACGTCGCAAACCGAGGTACGTGGTTTGGTAGTTTCACCGACGATATGTGCCGAATTGAGAGGCTTTTTCGCAAATACGACAGATTTGCCAAGTTTGTGCTTGTGCTCTCTGGTTATACAAAAAACCCGAAACGACATTTTATCAGTTTTTTTCTTCTTTTTTTGGGGAGTTCGGTTATCCGAAATATTCGTCGTTCAAAATCCCCGGTTGCTTTATTCGTCGTTTACCTCACGAAAGAACGTAACTGCTGCCAAATTTCCCCTCTCAAACTGCACTTTTACCAGGAAAATCTCGGGCTTTACCAATTGGAAATGTCACTAATTTTTCCTTTGAGCTCGTTGAAGAATTTGGTGACCAAAAGTGCACAAGTACATTCCGCGGCCTACCTGACATGAGGAAGTAACTATAGTCTGCAAGGAATCCTGTCGTATAAATAATTAAATGCTTTTCCGGGCTCATTCCAATGTGTAGTTAGTTACGCCCTTATGTCTGCCGAGCGACGATTCCTCTTACAGATCAATTTTTTTGTCTAAATTTCCAACCCTAAAAACAAAAATTAGACGTTAGTCAATTTCTAAGTTACTTTATTTGTAAAGAAAAGTTAATTTACACCTAGTAGGTGGTTGTAACATGTATTTGAAGAATAAAAAAAAAAAAAAAAAAATTTCCAACCTTGGAATGAGGTCACGACCCTTCGTTCGGGAAAGTTGTGTATTGTGTCGGATAATGAAGAGTGCAAATCGAAATATGAAAGTTTGAGCTTTTTCAACTAATCATAAAGATATTGGTGTTTTATGTTTTATTATTGGTGTTTGAAGAGGATTAATTGGAACTTCTTTTAGTATAATTATTCGTTCCGAACTTATAAATGTTGGATACCTAGAAAATTCGGTTTTTAATGAGGAGAAATTCGGCAATGCCTTATTGTCCATACGGCGTTTTTCTTGAGGAGTAAGGACGGCAGTTATCGGGCCGGTCTGGCGATAAATCACGGCGGACCGGAGCCGCAAATCTGTCTCAATCCCGCGTAAAACTTCCAATGCATGACTACCCTCTCCATTCACCTATCACCGGACTCCGGGAGTACGTCGGATCCCGGAGTCTTCCCGTGCTCGGAAGCGTTTTTTGAAGCCACTACAAGAGTATTCAATTTCGGAAATTGATTTCGGTTTTAGAGGTGAAGCATTTTCCGCTCCGTCGAGCTTGGGAACCCCCCACCCCCGACAACGTCCCCCACCCCCGATAATGTAGCGCCCTTGAAAGTCAGTTTTCTAATGATGGATGAGCTTATTATTAGTCTCCGCTAAGATCGTACTCCTCGGCTCCGAGGATTCGTTGAGTGATGAATAGACGATGTTCAACCGTTCGAGGAATTAAAAGCCTGTTATTAAGTGCTCCCAATAAAAGGGAGGAATCTCCTTAAAAATGACCGCGGATTACCTTCTTGTAATCGCCCCTCCGTTCTCTGACGTTCGGTGGAAGAATCTCCTATGTGCGTTCGAGTGTTGTCGGATTTCTTTTGATAGTATGATTACAGAAAAAAAAAGATTGGTAGAATTTACCATTTTGGCACGTTGTATTTCACACAGCGTAGGGAATGGTAAATTTTACCAATCCTCAAGTCGATTCTTCCAAAGGAATGGCTACCTATATACCAGTATGGAGTAACGTATACCTTTCTTCTGTCAGAATTGACTCTGCATTAACGCTGTGTGAAATACTGTGTGAAGGAATGGTAAATTCTACCAATCCTCAAATCTATTCTGCCAGAAGAACGGTTACCTGTACCAATATGTAGTAACGTTTACCTTTCTACTGGCAGAAAAGACTCTGAATTAACGCTGTGTGGAATACAGCGTGAAGGAATGGTAAATTCTACCAATCTTTTTTTTTCAGTGATTATTTTTGGCAGAAAGTGCGAATATTTGAGGAGTCAAAAGCCTATTATTAAGTATTCCCAATAAAGGAAAGGAGACTCCTTAAAAATGACGATACAGAAGTTGCAGGTATTATTCATTGAGATTTGCACATCAAATGCACGAAATTGAGGGTGCGAGTCCCTGGAGAAATTCGAAGGGGTTAACGTCGAAAAAACCCATGTATGTGCAAAACTTCTTTCGCGGCACTACCTAGTGAACTAGTTTCTTAACCAGAGAAATTCTTGTAAACAAAACAGTACTTACTGAAAGGTTACAGTCCTGAATTCAGGGTTCAGAACCTTACAATGCACTCGGAACAAAAAGAAAAAAAAGTCTTATGAATTACTTTACTTTTTAGTTTCTTGTGTCATTTGTTACACGTTTCGAACTGGCTTTTATCCCCGTCCTTAAATGGATTTACCGAAAAAAGCATGTCATATAAATCTTTAGTTGAAAACAAAAACATTCTAAGTTTGATTTTTTCATTAATTCATACAACCTTATTTTAATACCGGGCTCGGAATACCAATTCTTGTGTAAAGCCTAGATTTTACGTGGAAGTGCACGCATGTATCCGCGTTTCGAAACAACTCGTTCCCGTTCGATGAAGTTGGAGGAACGATTCCAACAAATCATGCACTACATACATATACAAGCTTTGAAAACGTGCTCATCATGAAAAATATCATAAATTGAGGAAAATAGAGATTTTCCAACGTTGGGAAAAAGTGGAAAATCCTTAAGGAGCTAAACACTAAGATCTCAGACATAAAAAATGAGGTGACATTATAATGCAAGATACTATTTTTACATTCATTAAATGTTTTCCCTTTTCCATCCATTACTTAATAGAGCAGAAACTTTGATTGGATGAGTCATTCTGTGCTTCAGTATCCGTCCATAATACTAGGTACGCACTGAGTCGTTATTCAAGGAAAAAGCCATCTCATTTCGTTATTCTTAACTAAGTATAGAATATAAACTTTTTCTCCGATTGCACGACATCACTCTAAATTTATCGTCTAATTGTTTGCGATTCTGAGAATTCGCAGTTGTCAGCGAATATTTTTCTCGTTAGCAGAAAAGCAGTTTGATCCCATTACCAACAAACGAGAGAAAAAAGAGATTTCTCTAGAACGAACCGAACGAAGAAGCTTCTATGCTTCCACTATCTCGCCTTCACTTCTTTTAATTCACGCTGTTCTCCGCAGACCGAAACTTCATCTCCCGTGAAATTTTGTATCACTGCCGGCGAAACTTAGCGTCAGCCGCGGAAAGTGTTTTCATAATGTCGGGAGCAATTTCAAAGCTGTTCAAGAATGGACATTCATTTGTGTCATCGCACGGAATAGAAACAAAAAAGCGCGTCAGTAATTTTTCATAATTTCCCTTCTGCTCCTGTCAAAAGTTCTCGAGCTTTTCGCTCGCTTTTAAACACTTTCTCTGTTCCTGCTTTCACTCTCGTTTCCGGTTTCAGGCATCACCCGCCTCATTCTTGACGGCTCGGGATCGTTTTTGAAGCCCTGTAAAAGTCCTCACAAAGCACAGGAACAATTTTGAATACAACGCAGGTGCGCGTTCCGTGATTACCCCGGAAATTCTAAAATCTATTCCGCATTGTTCAATGTTTAACTGCTCTTAAAGAGCTTTTCAATCAGTATTGGCATGTTGGCACTAACGTAGCACCTCCAAAGTTTCAACTTTTTGCTGCAGTTGATTGGTTGGGAAAAGCAAAGAGCGAAACTCCGAATGGACCACTATAGACAAGGTTTAAAAAATAAAATACGAGCGGAAATTTTTAGACGCATTAACCGAAATACACATTTTTGCAGTTTCACCATAGTTATCTTTAATAGGGCGAATCTTGAGCTTTAGTATTGAAAGAAATATACCTTATAATGAATCGTGACTGAAATCGTATTCCGTATCAATGGTTATTTTAGCATTATGGGACGGATTATCGGAGCATACTGAAGTTTGAAACAGCATATCTCTGGGTTGTATGGAAGGAAAAACGAGCTTTGAAGTTTTTTTTATGGGGACTGAAAACTATACAGTCGGTTCTCGCTGACGGAACATACTTAAGAGAAGGGAATGGAAGAACAGTTTTGTGTACTCCTCAACACTACAGTAATAGAGAACTTTCATGAAGTACATCGAAAAAAAAAGTGAAGTTGATTTTACATTCTGGATGTAAAAAAGTGTGCGAAAACTTATAAAATGTTGAATTAGCAGCCACAACAGTTAGTTTTACATCTTGGCATTGCTAAAGTAACTGCTGTAGAGGGTAAGTCAACATTTTATAAGTTCTCGCACACTTTTTTTACATCCAAAATGATAAATCGACTTCACTTGTTTTTCGGTGTATTGTCTCGCATTCAATCAGAAAAATCTCGGTGGAAACTGTCGGTATATTTTGCGAATGTGTCTTATCATGGCAGTTCCTAACATGAGTCTTCAAAGGAATGGCAGAGAGATGCGCGTTTACGCGATCCATTATCCGTTCACGCGAAACGCGTCGTTACAAGCGACGACATGCAAATTATTGTCACCATTCAAAAACGCCTTCAGTGTCGTGTGATCCTTCAATACCCACATCGGAGTTAAAATATTTGTATCGACAATCATTGTGCGTCGCGGTGCAAACTAGTCGGATCTTTCAATCGCTTATCGAACATTCATGAAGTAGTTTGTCGTGCATTCAACGAGAGAAACCCTTAATGGAAACTGTTGGTATAATTTAGTTTTCACTTTATTCAACTGTATTCAACTGTATCAGAAACATTGAACCAAAAATGGACTACATTTTGCAATTGGGAACTATAAATCATAGCCCGGTTTAAAAAACAACGTATGCGCCATTAGTTTCCCTATACACATAAGTGTTTTTCCGGAAGAGCCAGAATTTATAGTTCCAAATTGCAAAATGCAGTCCAAATATTCATTAATGCTAATTCGTTAATTTTTAAAATGATTTAATTTTGTTGTTACAGGTACAACATCACTTTTATGACGCTGACTTATTTCGTGCCGGTTTGCGCGATGCTATGCACGTATACTCGAGTAGGTTTCAAATTGTGGGGAAGTCAAAGTATCGGCGAAAGCATCTCGCGACAGCTCGACAATATCAAATCAAAACGAAGGGTAAGTTCTACGTTCCTTTTAATTTTACCTTGTAATATTTTTCGCAAAGTATGACAGTCTCGATGGCTCTCTCGGTAACTGAAGCATAGCTATCCCGTAGAACTCGTGGCTAAATCGAGTTAGGGTGTTTGCAGATTTTTAATGGGTGAAAGATAATGAGAATTCATTTCCATTGCTTAATTAATTCCATTCATCTTGTTTAGCTCATTTTTAATTCCGAACCACCAACTTTATTACGACCTAATTACAATTACTTTTATGGGAAAAAGATCATAATCTACACCAAAAAATATCTATCAAATGTCCATTTATTGGTCCAAGCATAGGATACCATCAATATAAGATTCAGTCATTCTTAAAAAGACCAAAGGGCCAGAAATTAAAATGCGAAAAAAACAGTAAAAACCGAATCAATTGATCCATTGAAAGCCTTATTAAGTATTAATGCGATTTATCCAGGGCCGGATTTACATTTTTAGCGCCCTAGGCTAAACTTAGGGTGGCGCCCTTAAAAGTAGGCCCTCTCGTGGGGGGTCCCCCAGGAGCCGTTCCCCTCCAGATCAGAAGGATCCAGATCAGAATGTTAGGTGTCAGGAAAATGTTCAAATTTACCCTCAAAAAAACATGATTTTAAACAGTTTTGAGGTACGTTAACGTTTGCAAGTTGGTTTTGGAGAATGAAAAGTAATAAAAGAATCGTTAAATTAAAAACAAAAAAAAAAATCCCAAAGATTTTGCGCCCTTCAGAATGCTGCGCCCTAGGCTACAGCCTACGTAGCCTATTGGTAAATCCGGCCCTGGATTTATCAATTTAATATTTTGGAGCTATCAGATTTGGAACGGGTCAATTCAAACGTTTTTTGGTGTGTCTCTCTCGCATCTCAATCATGGCGCTTAAGTCATTTTGAGGATGACTGAGTCATGTACCGGCCAGTGGTCGATCTTATCAGTGCTTTGCAATATATCGATTGATCTACCATTTAAACCTACGGGCAAGGATCGATAAACAGGGTGTTCGCGACGAGCACTTTAATAATCGATTCTTCACCACGGCTAAAAATGGGATCATGTCGATAATCGACCAATAACACCTCGTAATCGATACCGCCGATGACTCAAAAAAAGAAGAAACAACAATGTCAGTGCTGAGCGGGAGAATCGCACCAGCGCAAATCTGTGGATCCGGAAACTGTTTTTTCAACGCGCTCCGCATACAAACTGGGGTTTTGTTTTCTTTTGAAGTGTTGATCAAACACACGAACTCGCAAGAGATGAGAATTAAAAACGGCTTTTTATGGGCTTTGCCGGGTTAGCTGCCGAATCGATAAACATTGCGGTTAATCGGAAAGTGTTAACGCCCGCATAGTCAATTAAACCGAATGTTCAAGCGGCCGCCGCACCGTTGATTGAGTCAATAGGAGAAGGCAAACAAAATTTTGAAACTTTAAACGCTTATGACTCCGTTTAAACAAAATTTTGAGGTTCTAAAAATGGTCCAATTGGTTTCCTCGTGTAATTTTCTTCCGAAATCACCCCTTCAAATGAAAAATGTGACAAAATAAACACTAAAATTTGCAGTTGTAGTAAAAATTTCATGTCCGACCTCCTGAATTGACTCTATCTGCTGTGCGCCGTTGTGAATTGTCCTACCTCACAACGCTCCCACATTACCAGCCAAGCTTTTTAATTCGAGTGTCCTTCGACGCTACGTGCTCTTCACTCTATGTTGGAGGCGTGGCGTGCTTTGCGATGGATCGATTGATCTGCAATTTAAACCTGTGGAAAAGGATCGATAAACAGGGTGATCGCAACGAACACCCTATCAATCGATTCTTTAGTATAGATTTAAATGGGGAAATAGCGATAGTCGATAGATTACCATCACCACTGACTTTATGTTGGACCTTTTTTTTCCAGAAAACCACGTGCCCTGATGGCAGAGGCACGTACAAATGAACAAAAATGAATTTTATTTACTCAGTACAGCGGAGTCTCGACTATCCGATATGATTGAAATCGGACTTATCGCGAATAATCAAAAATTGCATATAATCGATATCGCGCATAAAAAGTAAAAATCAGGATGTGGTCCGTAGTTTTTGTCTATTTGACCGCATTCAGGCATAAAAACTCCTAAATAGTTTTCTCGCTTGGGGATGTTTATAAACTATAATAATTTGATTATTGTTTAAAATATCTCAGAAGTATAACACAAAAAAGTTACATACCCTTAAAAAATCACTTTTGGATGAAACGCTGCTTTTTTGGGCTGTTAAAAACTCTATGGCCTAAACTCAAAATTACCGACGAGTCCGTATTCTCCCTGTAATGGGTATATAAGGTTTGCTTCATCTAGAAACTATATTTTTCAAGGATTTCAATGGATGGAACTTGATATCGCCAACTCTCATAAATCGATTCAAATACTATAATGTTCTAGGCCTACATTTCACTTTAAAAAATGTACGAAATATCATCAGTAACATAGGTACGTTCTCTTTTGAACCATATGTATGTAATTTAAGTATCACGTCAGATCTGTTGTATCAAGGAAAAACCTCATATTACTATTAGAACCTTGCCAAATTTCCCAGCAAACTTATGAATCTCCCCTCTCTCCCGGTTTCGGAGACATTTTTTTGAGCAATTTAATCTATAGTGTATGCCAAATTTTCAGCCAGAAAAGGCTCTCTCTTAAAAACCAATCATGAATAATAAATTGAAAACAAATTCCTTATAAGTTAATGTTTTATAGTGGGAAAATGGCAACATCTCACCGTTAACGTACTACGCTCCTCGTTAGTATCTCTAGTAAAAATAAATCCTCCTCCGAAGACGAAAATTGACAGGACGATTTCGTTCTCGGAGGAGAATTTATTTTTACCAGGGGTGGCAGTGATCTGAGTCCTACAAAATGCGATGATACCGGAGTCCCGAGGAACACACTCCAGGTCATAACTTTTCGGGAGAGAGGGAATACATCATTCAACAATGATTTATTCCGTCAATTGTTGCAGTAGAGTGCATACGTCTGAACTGATTCTTCACCGTATCATCATCATTTGGGCGTATGTTTGAGGCGGGAGTAAATCTACAGGAAGATGGATTCAGGGGAGGGTCAGCGGAAATTCCTGTTTCCGCGCCTTCATTCATGACGAGAGCTAATGGTCTTGTTTGTCCGTCCAGTCGTCGTCAACATCCGGTCTCTCACTCTTTCTTCCACACTATACATTCTTCTTTTTTTATATTTTTTCTCGAATACCTCAAAAGGCTTTTTTTTGTGAGCGCAATAAGTATATTCGCGACTCAAAATTCCCGTTCCCGTATCCCTCTTGAGCCGAATCTAAATCTACGGTATGAGATGCCACCATACGTGCGTGCATGTGCGCATTTTGCCTATCAGACGAAATGAAGGCGTTATTTTCAGTGATTAAAAGTTACTTACCAATATACTGGGGGGAAAAGTGATTGGGGTCATCCCCTAAAATTGTGCCACCACCCCAATTTTTTGGATAATATGGACATTTTCAATTTATTTTAGCACTGCCGCAACATTTGAGTTCGAAACCTAATTTATTGGGGTACTACCACAATTAATTGAACATGTTCATATCATCCAACATTCGGGACGTAACCACTGTCTCTTTTTTCCCATGTGACTGTAGCTGTAATAAATGTTTCACGATGAAATTCTATCGATGTTTGACCTAAGGCGGTACCAGCTTGGCGGGAGGAACAGAGGGGTGAACTCAGACTCAGATTGCTCGAAGTACATGGTAGAATTAGGCGTTAATGAGGGAAGAATAGGGAAGGTAAAGCAAAGAGCGATTGCGGGGGAGGGCAGAGGGAGAGAGGAGGGAGGGGAGGATTTGGGAACGAGAGAGCGGAAGGACACGCATGAGTGGCGCGAGATATTTAACTAATGAGTTCCGTTTCAACGCGATATTGAGCAGATGATCGAATAATGAGCTGCCACCTAATCGTATTATGATGTCAGCATCCTGCACTTCCCTGAAAGTTCGGTGTATAATTCTGTAGCTCGATTCGGATACATGGCCGTGATAGCGAAGAGAGCCGCAGCTCCAAAATTTTCGGAATCGAGTTTTCTTCAAAATTCGTCTGATCTAACTTAGATGAATTCACCGATGCCATTGAAACGTTAAAATTTGTATTCTTTGTTCAGGGATGAGATTTATGAGAAAGTCGTTCGTGTGCAAAAGTTGACGTCGTTATTTCAGATAAAGCATCCTCAAGAGGCATTATTTCGTCAGGAGGCCAAACTGAGAAAAACTTAGAAGGAAAATGGCGGCCTCATCCGGGAATTTTCAACATAAAAATGTTTTTGCTGCAGTCTTTAACGCAACGACGAAAGCATGAAGAAGATGATACTAAAGGCTGTCTTGCCTAACACTAGACTAACATGAAAATTAAACAAAGACCCCTCTTACATATCTGAAAAAAAAAATTTGCCGATTCTTAATCATCCCAACGATTTCTGAAAGTGTTTCAGATGAAAGGTGGCGATTCGACAAAGAAATTAAGTTTTTTCCAATACAATTTTCCGTCAGGCGCATCTGAACCCATTATCTGAAAACTTCATTTTTGCATTTACGACTCTCTTCGCTATCACAGCCGTACTGTGGATCCCTGCATCTTCTTTAGAGTGATTCCAATTTCAAAATTCAAGTAATCACGTACTAAAAACAGTGTTAAATCGGGTAGTTGCGGTATAGGTGCACTCAAAAACAAGTGTGGGAAGAGTGACTTACCGGCCGAGTTATGGATCATGGAGCCATAAAATATAGTTCGTGGAGCCATGCTTATAGGTTCACGACCAATTAAGTATGGCTCAGAAAGCCATACTGTAGACGGTAAGTCACTTTGGTTGGAAATTATGGATCTCCGAGCCATTTTTTATGGGTCTCAGAGTCATACCTTTTTTTGAGTGTGGAAATAAAACATACGAAGAAATTTCTTTTTGAATAAGAAAAAATAGGAAA